TTTACACTCAGCAACCATCGTGATCATTAACCAATGATTAACCTTGCAGGTTATTGGTCATGTTATAAGTTTTGGGTTGTATTTATGCAGTGATTTCCTTTTTATGTTGAGGCTCATGCTAAATACTACTTGTCCTTGGCTGTCTGTGCATCTTTACATCCAGTCCAGCATCCCTATGTTCATTATGGATGATTACCTACACCCAATCCCAAAATTTAGTGCTGGAAATAGTGGACGTTTGTGTGCTGATACAGACCATGTCTCAAGAATATATAGATATTAAATATCTGAAATGAAATAAACCATTATATATATATTTTCCACTTGTGAAATCATTTACCTCTTCAGGCCCTTGAAACTCTTTAAAATAAAACAATCTGCAAAGGAAAAATCAATCTTTCTTTGAACTGCTCACAACTCATGTCCACGCTAAGGCCATAACCTGTGATAAACGGTCACATGCTTCATTTTAAAGGGTCACAAGCCAAAAAGTTTTGGAACCACTGCTCTAAGAAAGGTGTGTATAATCATATTTTAGTCCATTTCCCAATACTTTCCAACCTCAGTACCTTGTCTGTAGTACTTACTCAAGCCATTTTTCTATCATGAAGATGTACATTATTAGGTAAAAAAGTGTGTAGTGGCAGCCAACCTGCTAGAGATACCCCACCAGGTGTACCCTGGATCCAGCCTGTAAAATGGATTCTTAAAAGCTGGAAGGACAGAATCAGTGCAAATGCGTCTTCGTCCACATTTTTACTTCGAGGCATGGCGCACAGCGGAGAGGTGGCAGATGCGGATGCACGCTGAGGTGTGCTCAGATTAAACAAGCAAGAGAGGTCTGATTACGAATGCATGGGTGAGAGCCATGGGAAGAGAGAGAAAGAGATATGAAGACAGGAGTGTGAAGAAGGAAGAGAGAGAGATTTTGATGATCCACACATTTCACTACCTGTCTCTGAAAAGCTGCTCATCTGTTAATGCTAGCAAATCTCGTTCATCATACGTACCGGTGGCACAGAAGACTGAGCTACTGTAGGTCACAGGAGCATTATTTGTGCGTGTGGGTGTGTGTGTGCATGTGGGAATGAGACTGAATCGGTGTGTGAATTACACTGCGGAACAGTACATTAATAAGAGATCAACTCTCCCTTTTGTTTGATACGTAAACGTGATGAGTGGGCCTTGTAATTGGTTAGTTTAATAACTGGAGACAAACTGAGTGTTCTCTCGGCCTCTCATTCACACACGTGCAATTACACACCACAGAAACATGCCGAAATTGTAATTCTCCGTCTGACGCTGGAGCGCACACACTTCACATTTCAGGGTGGCATTCACACGCTGGTCTGTTTAATTTAGGTTTGGCAGATTATAGTAATTATGTTAAAGAAAAGATTTTCCAGAGTAATTTGCCCTTTTCTGTCCTTGAAGACTGAAACAGCGCTGGCTGAAGGATGATCATACTCATTTTTGTTTTACACTGCTACTTGACTATTCAACCAGACTGGAAAATATGTTCGCATAAAGGTTGTGCAAGTGTCAAAGGTGTTATTGTTTTGCATGGTTTTATGGCAACAATAATCTCTTTGATCACCTGAAAATGTTTTCCTATCGGTGTAACCACAGCCATAATAACAAACTATCCTTAATATTAAGATGCAGAGCATGTGTATTGTGTGTGTTTGTTTGTGTGTGTGGCAGCCAAGAGAAGCGTAGTGATGCAGACATAAATTGGAAATCCAGAGTGTGTCATTGAACTGCACCTCTGGGCCCGCTCTCCATTCAGCACTACCTCAGAATAATATGTGCGTGTGTGTATGTAGTGTGTGTGTGTGTGTGTGTGGGTGAGAGCCAATTTAAAACTACCCATGAAATTAAGATACAGAACAGAGTTGTTGAATGTAGGTGTTTCTGCGTGTGACAATGCAAACTATCCTTAAGATGAAGATGTAGACCAGGAGATGTTTCCGCATGTGTGCATGTGTATACGTGCGTGTGTGTGTGTGTGTGTGTGTGTGTGTGTGTGTGTGTGTGTGAGTGAGGAAACAGATCTGTAGTCTGAGTCTGAGTATTGTCACCATTCTCTTAAGAAGGAGAGGGGAGGGGGATTTGAAGAATCTTTCGAACATGCTGACAGCTTGTCAAGGCCCTCCTACGACTGTAATGAATTTCAGCCTTTTGTGGTGTGTGGTCCCGCTGCACTGATAATCCCTGGCACTAATACAGTTAACAAGGAGTGTGTGTGTGTGTGTGTGTGCGTGCATGCGTGTGTGTGTGTGTGTGTGTGTACACATATGTGTGCGGGCGTGCATGTGTGGGCTGACATGTTTACATGCCTTTGAGTAGAAATAGCTTGATGCATTGCAGTGTTTGCCAATAATGATGATGAATATTAGGTGGTTGAATTTGCATGGATGTGTGTGTGTGTGTGTGTGTGTGTGTGTGTGTGTGTGTGTGTGTAATAATAGCCAAGCCAAGGTGGAATATGAGTAAGCATGTTTATTAGGCACTGTACTTGTATTACCATTTTATGCTACTCTATACTTCTTCTCCAATATCTTTCAGAGGGAATATGTGACTTCACTCCACTACATTCATTTGACAGCTATAACTACTAGATTGCACATTAAAAAAAACAAGACCATCCTCCCAAGAAGCACGACAGTATCAGTCGTTCCAGTGACCCAAAACAACATGTTTACATCCAAGTGACGAAGACCTCTAGCGACTGTATTAATTATGACTGAGACAAAAGAGGGAGGGAGGTTGGGGCATTATAGAGAGGCAATATCTGTGTAGGGAGGAGGTCAGGTTGGATACATGGGTCAACAAAACATTGGACATGGAGAGAGCACTGTTCATTTCCAACCAATTTTTTTAAGCATGACCATGACCACTAAGTTCCCCTAACCTTAGCAAAATAGTCATTTTGACCGAAAAACAGATTGTGGAAGGTTAAGTTGCCCTTTTGATAGTGACGTCACATCAGAAAATGTGTTGTTATAGAGGGTATGGACAATCACTGTATTTTGTTGTTTCATTTGGAGGAACAAAAACACATGATTGAAGCTTATAAAATAAAAGCATATCATATAATACAAAAAGCACTGTCTAGTAGTGATGGGAATTATGGCTCTTTGAAAGGTGCCACATCTTATTATTTCTATATTACCTTTGTTCTTTTTTCTTGTAGGGGGCTTGGGTCACTAGCTTTATCTGCCAAATAATCACTAGGATAATGATAGAGGAATAAATGGATCAGATTCAAAATTAGACATCCCAGTATACTTTCATTTTACATGTGTGTACTAGGTTAAGCAGCACTAAAATACACGAGGTGAAGCCATATCTCTCTTCTTAGTGAATTTATTACTTTGAATTTACCCTCTGTATTAAATATGTTACGTAAATAAAGTTGCCTTACCTTGAATACAATTCATGCACCACTTACTATTAAAAAACATTTTAACTCCGCTCAGCTGATGCAACACCAGTGTACACCAGCATAGTAAACAAGTGGACCCACACTGATAATGCTGCAGACAGTTTGTGAGTACAGTGGTAACGTTACTGGTACACTGTTCTAGTAAAGGAGAGTGGGTTTAGGGCAGGCAGTGAAATTTGGCCACAACAATAAAACGTAACATCCACAGTGTCTAGTCGGGGACATTTCAAATAAGTTGTTAGCAGTTACACCACTTTAAACCTCTCGTATGGTTTCATATTTAATAACCACTTGAGGCAGAAAGAGGTAAAACTCCAATATTTCACAAAAAACAAAGTAGTTGGTAGTAGTAGTTGGCAGGTTGGGAAGCCACTACATTACAGTATGTAAAGTAGCTAGAACAGTAAAATGCTACTCACACTATAATATAACCGTATTATCAGTCTAATAATGTAATATGTAGTAATATATCTGTTATAGGGGCCATTTTTTGGAACGAGTGGAAGAGTAAGTACTTTTACTTTTGATACTACTTCTGTTATTTTGCTTAAGTAGGATTTTAATTGCAGGACTTTTTCTTGTGATGGAGTATTTTTACATTGTCATATTGGTATTTAAGTAAAGGGTCTGAATACTTCTTCCACCAGTTGAAAAGTAAATCGGCAGCCTTCTCCTCACTACACTTTGAGCCCCAAGTTTCAAAATGTTTAAATCAATTCTCAGTACTGTGTTGGCCCACTGTCCTCAGTTGAAAAGAATAAAGTAGAAAATCACAAATCTGTTTCCTTGCACCAAGCTTTGCATCCACACGCACACACAGACAAACACACACACACACACAAGCTGTTGTCAGAGTCAGGGCTGGCATGTATCTTTGTGCCTTGTCATCACATGCTCCGACTGAGCTCTAAATGTCACTCTCCACTTCATCTGCCTGACTCATCCTCCTTGTCTTTACTCTGCATTTGAAATGCTTCTGTGTGTGTGTGTGTGTGTGTGTGTGTGTGACACTGACATGTTGTGGTGTGTATACGTTTGATGGACACACTGCTGCCTTTGTATGGCGCCTGCAAGCACAATGATGCTCACTGCATTGATTTTCTCGTGCCATTTTATAATTACATCTCCTCTCTTTTTATTCATCCACCCCCTCTCTCTCCCTCTTTCTCTCTTTTATCCTGTCTCTCTTATCTCCCCCCTCTCTCTTCTATTTTTCTAATTCCATCCCCTTGATCCATTTTTATGCCTCGCTGTGCCCATGCTTGTTATCTCGACCCTTTCTCTTTTTTTCCCTGTTTGATCTCAACTTCTTAATTTCCTCTCTCATCTACGTCACTCTGCTCGGTTTCGCTTTGCACCCCACTACCCGCTCTTCCTGTGATGGTCGTCATTGTTTCTCTTTTTGCCCTCTTATTTTTCTTCCGTGCTCTTTCTGATTTTTGTCAACCTCTTTCTCTTTCCATCGGGAGCGCTTTCACACCCACCAACCCTCTTTTTCTCTCATTTACTTTTTTTAAAATCTTTTTTTGTCTTCTGTTTTTGTTTACTGCAGCCTCTCTGGAGTGCACTCCATCTTCACCATAGCCTGACGGAGAAGGACTACCCAGTCACGAAAAGGCGCAGACGCCCACCGCCTTGCCAACATCCACCCAACATGATCCTCAGACTTCTTCGTGGAACAATGACAGCTCTCTGCCTCACGCCTTTGCTCTCCGCCCTGGTCTTCTCCAAAGACGAATCTGGAAAGAACTCGGGCCTTCTTCCCAGCAACTCCTGAGAAGCTCCCACGAGTTCTGACTTGCTGTTTCCTCACAGTCCAAACAATTCATCACAGCTTCCTGGAATCTGACCAATACTTTCCATTACAGACGTCCCATCTCCAGACATTTATGACCTTTGCAGCCAAGCCTCCACCAGATCTCTCACGCTATATAACTCCTACACTCCTCTCAGACATCGCTTCACTCCCTCTCCCTCAAGAACCACATCAACAGCCAAGCCCTCCTAACGATCATCTACCCAGAATTCAGCAGTTGACTTGGCTGGGTTTACCTAAAAGCATTTAAACACAACGATAATCTCCACACCGTTGCATGTGTATTTTCTCCCATGAGTACTCTTGTGGTGCACTGCTGAGCCTGTCTCTGCCCTACTAAGGACTTTCAGTAGTGGCAGCAACATAATGACTGTCTACAGGACCACTACTACACACCTCTCCTACCTTTATCCCTCCTCCTTTTCCCCTAACAGACTACAACCGCAAAGTGTTGAGATATTTTACACCACCATGTGTGTGTTTTGTGCTCTTTCTCTCTCTCATTCTGTGCATAGATCCTGTAAACGATGTTTGACAACGCCTGGCGAAGCATCAGTATCTCTCCTCACTTTTTGCCCTCTCCATATTGTGGATCATTCTCTTAGGGTAGATAGTAAGCCTGAGAGAACTTCACTGTGAAAACAACCAACAGTTAGTAAGGGAATAAACACTGAACCTGGCATCACATTAGGTACGGTTAAGTTGGCTCCCTGAAATGAACAACATCTTTGTAAAAAAGCAATCTGAAGGAGATGAAGCAGAACCTGAGAAAAAAAGGGATGAACTACGAGAAGGAAATTCCCTCGGTGTCCCTAAAAGCACCATGCTAGTAGGTAAACGGAAACAAAGGGAAAGGGAGTGGCTGAAAGGAGCAAGAAAAGTAAAAAGGGCTTCGTGAACTGAGAGATATTTGACTTGAAATTCTTTACTGCTTTAATGAGGAGAGAAAAAGAAGAAAAGACATCACAGATAACAAAAGAAGAGCCTTTTCATTTCCTCCCCTCTGTATCACCGACTCTTTATTGCTTTGTCTGCTTTCCATCTCACTGCTTGAAACTATTTTTAGATGAGATATATTGAAAATAGTGTAGAAAGGAGACGTGCTGTGCACAGAAGCTCATCATGAAAATGTTGTCTGTCAGTCTATTAGGAAGATACACTGTTCTATTTATCTCTGATGAGAAACTCAAATCTCTGTCGATGTGAATAATGGCCACTCACTGTTGATATTGTAGGTATTTTAACTGCACTTAAAAGGACATGTGTCTGTCATGAAACGTAACTACTGTTACTCGGACCATCGTCATCTTCTTCACTATGTCTATGAGTGTAAATACATTATAAAATCTTGTAGCCAGTATAATGACCTCTTAATATCAGCAGCTAATTTCAGTGTACTGGAGTGATATTTATCAAAAGCTCATATTCACGCCAGTGAAGCATGACCCGTTGTCATGGTAACAAAATATTTCCTTCCCTGCATGGGAGCTGTCAATCAGAGGAGCATAAAATAGGTGCTGCGGTAGGAGTTGGAAGAAAAAACGGGGTCAGAGTTGGACCCTTAGAGCCATTGCGTTTAAATGGGATTCCATTTGTACACTGGTCCCTCTGTCTACATCCATTCACTGTTTGGATAGCAGCTGTAACCTAATGCAGCAAAGACCCGTGAGCAGATTGAATAGTATTGATCAGTTCTTCTGGACATACAGTCGGTCCTGCAGGATTACAAAAGCCTCAAGGGGTGTGTGTGTGTGTGTGTGTGTGTGTGTGCTGACAGTCACATAGGAATAGAGTTGTTCGGGCTAAAACACAAGTGGCTATTTCATGGTCGGCTGGAGATGCCTTGTCCATGTCTGTCAAGGCCACCAGGAGGAAGGGGAGGGCTGAAGCTTCTGTTAAGTTTGAAACTCCTCGAGTTTGAGATCTGGATTCATTTATGCAAACGACACTTCCTGTCTCTATAATATCACTATTTTCAAGGATATAACAAATTGATATTGATGAAGATATTTTAAAAATAATTTTAACCCTTATAGTATTAAAGGAGCAGTTTGTCATTTTGACTTATTTGCTGAGATGAGAGGATTAATTCTACTCTTATAGATGTAGCCTATGCTATTAAGCAATTAGCTTAGCTTAGCAGTTACAGTTTTTTTGTATGACCTTGGCATTGTCAGGCTCTTATGTAGAAATAAAAATATGTTTCTTTGCTCTCTTGCGAAGAGTGAGATGATAAGTTCAATATAACTCTTATTTGCCCGGTAAATATAAAGCTTACCTTAGCCTAGCATACAGACTGGATCAAAAAAGTTTAACGGTAACAAAATCCGCCTACTAGCACCTATGAAGCTGTTTAATCTGTACAAGAACCAACATGCGAAAATGACAAACAAATTAGATCTAACATGTTTATTTGTAAGTTTTAGAGTTGCTAGAAACTAGATTTTGTTACCTTTAGACATAGTCAAGAAAGCTATTTCCCTGTTTCCAGTGTTTATGCTAGGCTAAGCTAACCGGCTGCTGACTTTAGCTTAAAATTTTTCTGACAGACATGAGTCATATCAATACTCTCATCTAACTCTTGCGATGGGCAAATATAAGCATATTTCCCAAAATGTCAAACTATTTCTTAAAGTTAAATTCCAGGTTTTGCTCAGATATGGTCAGAAGCATTCACATTTGCACATAAGAGCCTGACAAAACCAAGGTCCACGCATTTCCAAAATCTAGAGGGGAAAGAACACAAGGCTGACTTCTTGTGATCTTACAGTATATGAAGCACTTGCATGTAATTTCATCATATTTTTGATTGTGGCCCTGTAAAGAAAGTACTGTGTCTGTGTTCTAACTCAGTTGTAATTCTGCTCTTCAGCGTGGCTGTAAAGGACTATTGAAAGCTTTTGTAACAAAATGGATTCCTTTACTCTCAAAGCATCTTTTGAAATTATTATTTTTCAAAATTCATGCAGTCTAACTTTGGGTCAAGACCTACATTTGCTTGCAGGCTCTCCACTACATAACAAATGTAGCAGTGTGTTTTAGTGATCCATATCCCAGGCTACAGCACCGTAATAACCCTGGGTCTAGGCAGTAAAATATTGATTCCCAGAGTATGCTCGCTTTCTACTTGCAGCGAGGGAATAGATTTTCCTCTAGAGGCACGAGGGAAACTTTCCACTGTATTTCTGGTTGTGATATCCAGGTATAACCAGCTTGAGATCTGGCTACTGTGCCAAGATGTCCGAGAACTTGCCTGAACTGGCTCAGCCCATAGTCTCCCAGTACCTGTAAGAGGTTTGGCACGCACTCATAGATGCTGATACACAGTGCACTGTTACACAAGAGAACGCTAGACTAAACCTCACACAACGTTATTGCACAAGAACTTTCACATATGCTGGCATGCACGTAAGCGACACACAGACCCAGACTTTGTATTTAAAATACACATACACAAGCGCACGCACACACACACACACACACACACTTTTCTAAACAAATTAGCAGTTAACACAGTCACAGGCGCTTGCAGGTTTCACATTAGTTATACATAAACAAGTGTAGAAGCAAACATGTAAGCGACACCTCAAACACAATCTAAACACAGGACCACAAATGTAAAGGGTTTTTTTTCTGCCATGTTGACAGCATGTTTCTATTCTGTTCTGAGTGTTTTGTAATCAACAGGCATGCGGACCAAGTCTCCCAATCTATCTCCATACAGTATAAGGTGCCTAATGATGGATATTAATATGATATTGATATCATGATGAGTATATACAATAAACCGATTAATCTTCATGTATAATGTGTTCTCTGTTTATTCTGCATGTGATTGGCTTGACTTTTTCTAAATGTGGACTGTGAGTGTGTGGGTGTATACATCTACTCACACACAGCAGATGTAGACTGATGTAGACTGAGTTCCCAACAAAAACCCATTACCTGGAGAGGTGTGACATTGCAGTTTGGGCATACACACAACATGTGGATCCACAGTAACATAACAAATGCATAGTGAGCACAGACAAGTTGTAATACTGCTGTTCATTTTCTACTTTCCCACAGGCAGCAGTGTTAGCAAAAGCAGCTGAATGTGCACACTTGTGTCAAAAATAAAGTCTTCCACCCTGACCACAGACAATACTTGTCAGGTGTGCTTTACCTGGTGTTCTTTACCTTCCTTTTGTATATTAGGACACCTTGTTGCGTAAGAAACCTAAAATAGCAGTGACTAATGGTGCATTATACTTAACTAGATTGTAGGTATGACTTAAACATGAAGTAAACATACTTTTAAAAATGGTGCACGCTGTAAGTTTTAAATAACATTATTAATGTTAAATTAATTACTAATGATTAATATTATAAATGATAATTCAAAGTCAAGTTAATTGAAAGTCAATATGATCCTTTAAAGAAGGATCTTCTTCAGTTTTTACCCTTGAGATGAAGACAATACAGTAGATTCAGATTTTTTTCAAGTCTATCTTAATACAATACTCACAACTGTACATTGAAAGAGCTTTTGGTCATTGCAATCATTCCTCTCACCCATACTGGCTGTAAATTTGGTTGCTATCTTCCGAAGTTACTGTCATTTTAATGCTAAATTCCCTCTTTTTGTTTCCTCCGGACAGTGTTACCTTACTGAGCTGAGCCAGACGGATACATCCTGTTGGTTGCATTGCTGGGACAAAACCCCTGGCTATAAACCTACATGCAACTGCCCAAAAGAAGATACACAACATATGAACCTATCCTTTGAGTTGCCCTAAATTAAAAACAACTGATACAAAAATGTTTGTTCCTTGCATTATTACATTTCAACATTTTCTAATTTGTTACTTTAAAATGTTTTCCTTCTAATTGTAGGTATTTACTTTGTTTCTAATGTTTGTTGTGTGTTTCAGGAGGGAAGGTTATGTCTATTTGTGTGTGTTTTATGTATTTATGTTCTGCATCATATATTCTGTTGTATTTTTAATTGCTGCTGCATGGCAAGTATATCTTAAAGTTAAGTGACATTATGTGAAAGTGAAAGTTAAATATTTGGAGGGAAATACTCTTATCTACTTTCTTCCCATGACTTCACAAAACAAGAAGTTGACAAGGTGAGAAGATTGATATCAATCTCATGTCTGTCCGTTCACAACTCACAAAAGTATCCAAAATGAGACACAGCTTTGGTCTTAATTTTGAGAAACTAATTATACCAAGGTTTGGATGAATTGAAATTGATGCCTACAAATGCTACACATGCTGCACTGGAGAGAGTGGAGGGAGGGGGAAGGAGGAGGTGAATAACAGGCGTGAGGGATGAAGAGAAAGAGAGATATGACAGAAAATCGCTAGCACTCAGTCCCCTGCTTGCCTCTCCTGAGACCTGCAACACACACCCTCAGCACTCTGGGCTCTCACCGGCTGCCTGGATGAGATCTCCACAATTTTTTATTTTTTTTTGCCTTTGTGTGTGTCTGCAAAATTTCCCTCCACAGTTTTCTTACTTTTCCCTGTGCCTCTTTTTTGCTCGCTCAGTTTTGCTGCTGCTCCAATTCTATCCATCACTCATTCTGTGTGTGCCAGCATATGAGAATGTATCTCAAACATGTGCTCTCTCATCTATTAATTTCTCTCTCTGGTATCTTTTTTTCTTTTTTTGCTTCACAGTTTTCAGCTTAGTCTGTTTCTATAATCTTGTTTTCTTTGTCGCCATGGCATAGATACTCCTACATGACTTTCTTTTATTTCTCTCTTCTTCATTCGTTGGCATTATCTCTCTCCTGTTCTCTATTTATGTAGCCTCCCTCTCTTGTGTCTCTGCATCATCCTCAGCCTGGCTGTTGCACATAACGCTCCGAATTCCCATCCTCCTCCGTCACACATTCATGTTGAGCACAAGCAGGCGGCTGTATGAATTAAACATCTTAGACAGTGCACACGCTGAGCCCCTTTGGAGTGTCAGGATGAGCACTGGTACTCAGATAGGGGATTCTGGCCACACACCGAGTGTTTTTCAGTGTGTGTTTGAGTGTGTGTGCATGTGTGTGTGTTACGCCGTATTTGACACTGTTATCACATTGAGCAGCGAGGGTTATCACATCTGTTTTCCTTCATGTTTTATTGTCAGAGGGGAGAAGGAGCGAGAACCCTTCTTTAGTGCTAAAGCTTTCCCACTTTGACAAAGAAAAGTTTCTCTCTGTCTTCTCTTTTCCCACACTCTTTCTTATGCTTTCCTCGTCACTCCCTGTGTCTTATCTCTCCCCTTCTCTTATCTTGTTTGATTTCTCAGTACGTGTTGTTTTCAACTAGTGGTTTGTGTCAAAATAGTTTTTGCTTTACCCCCTCCCCTATTCTCCCTGTCTTTTATATTTCAACTTTAAACCAACTTTTTTTTCTTACGTTGTTTTTTGATCTCTTTGCCTTTTTGTCCTTCTGTTGTCTTTCATCTCCCTCCCTCTACATCTCCTCTCTCTCTCTTCCCCATCTTGTTTCACTGTCAATATGACTGATATGAAAACCTTTCAAAGCAATTGATGTTGGTATGATGGCGTCTCTGTGTGCATCATTATCTCTATATGTGTCAGTGTCTGCGAACGTCAGTGTGTCCGTTATGTACATACCATGTCTTTACAAAAATGTGCACACATATCACAAGGGTATCAGGAGAGTGTCTTCGCCAGCTGAGGAGGTTAAGCCTTCTTATCAACTTTTGCTGTGTGTTGATTCGGTATAGAGCACTTTGACATCCATCTGGTCGTGAACTACCAGTACCACGCTCTCTGCCTCCCTGACTATGATCTCATCTCCAAACAGCCTCTTTTTATAGGGTTGCATCTTGCCAGCTTTGCCACGACCAGTGTCAGCACTGCAGAGGATAATGCACACTTGCATTACACTGATTTACTGTGGCAACCTTTCAAAGTTTAAGAGGTCGTTTTTAGGTCAAACAAGAAGGCTGCAAAATCAATTCAATTGGACAACTGTACAGTACAGAGGGAGATAATGGGTTAGAAAAATAGGAAGGCTCCTTACATTTAATTCAGCTTTCTTCTAAAGTAGTGCTGGTCCCTTAAAGCTAAATAAATCAATATTTGTTTATAAACATACAGTGAAATTACTGCATGTAATGTGAAAAGATTCGCTCATGGTGAAGAACCTACAGATAGTTAACACCCACTTCAGAGCGTTTCAGTGTCTTTCAGTTTATTGTTTTGGTTTTACAGCCCACAACGTAAATGTTTTAGTTCACTACCACCGCTCTCATCAACCTTGTTTCCAGCCAGAACAGGCAGCTAAAAAAGTTCTGATTAATCAGCTGAATGCTATCAGACAAAGTTAGTGAGTAGCTTGTGAGGAAAGTGGATATATAAAGTAGATATTTTTTTCTCAGACGGCAAACAAAAATAAAAGTTGAGTGAATACTGAATTTACATTCACCACGTGGCCAGAAACACAACTATGAATATAAATGAATGGATGAATGATAATGTGGTTCTGTGTCTGCTGGATGTGTAAATAGGCAAATGTTTGCTAAAACGTTTGCCATGCCAACTTTAGTAAGTGATATTAAATTAATGTTTGTCCAATTCATTGTTGGTTTTGGTCTTTTTTGGTGATTTGTTGATAACTAGAAACATATATTTTGAAGATCAATTATAATAGCACAAAGCAGTTGGATATCATTGCAATGGCAGATAAGAAACAGCTAATAGGGACATAATATGAAGTCTTATTCTCATTCGAGCAACCAATTACAGTAGGTGTCACATTTTTGTAAAGCTTGATATCTATTTATCTCTTTTCTGTGTTTCATAGCTAAGAGATGCTCTATAAAGTGGGTTTTTATTCACCTTAACAGCTGTTACTCCTTCTCTAATTCCCTGTTCTTTCTTTCTGCCTGTGTTGCTGGTGAATCTCACCTAACCTTTCAGCCTCGCGATTTCACTCTTTCAAAATTCCTTTCACTAATGTATTCAAATGAGAAATGTCTCTTCTTCCAAGTCTGAAGGGAATTTTCTTCTTGTCCGACCCCCATGGCGGCAGTGCAGTCACATAGTTGAACAAGCGATGGCAGGGATGCTACAAGCTAGCAGACCGGGACGTTTTCCCAGCACCTCGCACAGCTGTGTGCTCCACCGCTCAACATCAAGAGGAAGCCGGGGTTATTACCACTATATTTATGTGTCAGGCAGAGTCAATTATACCTCTGATTGGAGAAGGGTAAAAAAAGAGAGAGAAAAAAGAGAGAGTGCATGCAGTAAACGTTTCTTCCTTGAGGCTGTTTGTGTGTGTGTATGTGTGTTCCTGAGTGAAAATGTCTTAGGGTTTTTTTAAGCCTGTGCATGTCTCTGTGCAAATGTGCTGGTTGCTCCACAGGTAGTGAGAGAAAATAAATCCCCATCCTCAGCTCCCCTCTATGTTCAGCAGTGATGGAACAGGCAGGAGCCCCAACCTGGGGGCCTCCAGCCAGCAGGCGCCGCTGAGGATGGAGGGATGCTGTGAGCTCACTCGTTAAACAGCCCTGCGCCCGACTTTAATGATATCCGCCGGCACGTTTTCTCACTCCCCTGCCCTCTCTCCCTCCCTTTCTCTGGCCATGTATCTCTACCTCACCCTCGCTCTCCCTTCAGCCTTTCCGCCCACTCCTACTTTCTCTCCCCTCATTCACCGCCACCATCTGCACCTCCCTCCCCCTTCCTCTCCCCCATAATATGTTTGGGTGAGGAAGTTGGACCCGTCTGGTGGAGGGGAGAGAGGCTCTGTCACACTTGCCTTCTAATGAGCAGTTGCTCTGCGTGCCAC